TAATCCACGTGTCGATGGCGTGGCACAAACTGGAGAAATATTATTCGACGAGCAGTGTGATTAGTTGCATTCGCGTTTGAAAAATAACCACTGGTAATTCGCGCACTTGTTTCGCTCGTCGAGATTCGATTCGATCGATGGTTACTCGATATTTTTTAATCAAAACGATCAGGGATGCGTTTTCAAGAATGTACACGCTCTGTATCGTATACGAGAGTCATTAATTGGATTATTCTCGTGATACTTGTTTATAAAAAAAAAAAAAAAGGAAAGACAAATTATAGGAATTATAGGAACGATAATGGTATATATTGTATTCCCGTTGCATTATTCGTTTTAGAAGAAAGGCGATATTGAAGAAATATGCTGTATATGTACGATAGACCGCGCGCCACGCATTCCATTTATCAATCGAAGATATTTCAAAGATCCGGCTCGATAATACCACCAAACCTGTACAATACCACGGACAATACCGACAATAAGATTATTCGAGAATGAAAATGAAGAAAAATTTTGTTGAGAAAGAAAGAAAGAAAGAAAAAAAAAACCGTAGCTTACTTACGTTTCTATACAACAATAAGTATTCACTAACGTTAATCGTAATATTAGAAATGTGAAACGTGAGAGGCATGTACGCCGTTAAGTATTACATTAAACGACGGATCGTGAATAAACGCGATAAGCCGTATTGAAATAAGCCGAAACGTGGCCCTGTTTACATTCGTATGAAAGACACGGGGAAGCGTAGCAGACACTGTATGTAAATACATAATATACGCCGGTATATTCCGCGATACGTTCCGCTCGATGCTTTTTTACCTTTTTCGTTCCTTCGAGCGGCACACGGCCGCCTTTCTTTCTTGATTTCTCAAAGGCAGCGATCAACTATGGAAATTTTGTAACTAGTACTCGAACCCGGCCAGAGAGCAGACATCCGTGTAATTCAAAAGTACGGATTTTATTGGATCCCGTTCTACACAGTTTTATTGGCGTACCCCGTATGAAGCGATCGGTGACATCCCCCTTTGAAGTTATTTACATATTTATAAGTATACTATGGGCACGGCTATACGGTATATAACCGTGACGGTACGCCGGTGCAGACGATGCATAAAACGTATGTACCATCGTACCAATGTTAATTCGGTGTAAATATTATCAGATGCAAACGATCGTTTTGATCGATTCGATCAATTGTACTTCCCATTTAATTAGTTCCTGTTTAATATTAGTCGGAATTATAGATAAATCATAGATAATACAGTTTATTCGATTAATATTTGTGGAATAAAATTAAAAAGAAGATTTTAGAAAACGGTTATTAAAACTTTGACAAACGTCCGATTTATTTTGACGTTTACGATACAATTGATTTTTTTTCTTTTTTAATTTAATAAAATAATAGATGTTCGATAAATGTTCAAATCTATCGTATCGAGATGTTCTGTTCGTCGTAAGGTCCATTTCTCCTGAATTCTAGAAATGTTACCTTTCAAATGCAATTTTTCTGATTAATTAACCGATAGCTCTCGAAATCAATTTCAGCAGCAATTAAAAGGTTAGTCATTTGAACCGAAACAATTTTTCTCCACGAATCTAAAGAATATATCCTGGACGAGAGTAAAAACATAAGATTAACAACAAACGATGCATGTTCTCGACATGTTCTTAAATCATCATCGATCAAAAAAAAAAAAAAAAAAAATTTCACGTGCCGATTCGAATTAAATTCAAATATAATTCAAATTTCGATTGAAATTCTAATTCAAACTACGCAAACATTCAACTTTCGACAACACTATTCCGTGAAAACAGAGTATTATATTTATTTTACTATATATACGGTACGAAAGGGGAAACGGATCGCAAATATGAAGGGGAAGAACGATCTTGCATCGAAATTTTACGGTTTTGAATGAAAGGAGAAAGTGAATCTATGACGAAGAAAAAAATGCAATATCGATTGAATATTAGAATCTGAGTGCATGCAAAATCAACGAGCGCACATTAACTCCTTTGACTTGCTAAATAGGTTAATTTGAATGTTTAAATTCCAGGCCCGTTCAACTCAATTTGCGAGGACTCTGAGTCTGTTTAATTCCTTTCCTTCCACTATCCAGACAGTACTTGCATCAACTACCACTAAGCCAGGCCAGCTGGCCTGTTAACTTCCAACACGTTTCGAGCGGCCGACATACGGAAACGTCCGACAGCCCCTCACACGGATGCTTAAACGGGCCATGTGCTTCCTATATCGTTTAACTAGAGACTGCCACCTGTGCTTTAACACTGTAATTTTGTAACATTTCGTGCCTCCCTTCTAATTATCCTACTAAAAAAGATGACAAGTCTAAATATGCTTGTCACTGGTTGCAATATTGCAGCTTAATTACAAGAGGACTGTGATCAGATATTGCAATTACGATTCGGAATTATAAATGACGTATAAAAGATGAAAGGGATTCGTATGAAATATAAGTTGTATCAAAAAAATTCTTTCAGCATTATCAAATATCTGATATTATTACTATCACCATTAATTATTATTATTTTGATAAAATTTGATAAAGTGTTTTACGAGTGACAATTATTATCTTTAGATGATATATATCGACCGGGAGAGCGCGAACGCAGTCCCGACTAACAAAAATTGTACGTCCGAGATACCCACATTAGGGGTATTCGCAGAGGTCAGCCCAACCGTAGTGCAATGGGAGAGCCTCACCCTGGAGGAACCGCCTTTATGATCACGGTAACCTCTACGCCAGGTAAGTATGCTTTTATCCGATGCTTCGAGTGACTTAAGCCCCTACAATGCAATTGTAACTGCGAGAAAACTTGTGCACCTAGCACTACATAACGGAAATTTTTGGAACTAACGACAATCGATCGAATTTTAACCCTATCTCTATTTTATTATTAATTTCTAATTTATACTTTAGGTTTAAAATAATTTCTTTAGTAAAATCTATTTTAAAAAAATTAGAAAATTGTACAATTAAAAACATTAAAAATTATTACAATTAATTATTTGTATCGCATGTAATATTGTAAGTTGTAATTTGAATTTCTTGGAAGTTGTAGTCTACTGTGTATAATTTGGCTGACTATTATCGCCGGCACAAATACGTGAATTAACATTGAGAATGTTCATTTGAATACGGAATCATTATTAGGCGTATGTACGTGCTTAGACATTATACACGAAAACGAGACACAAAGGTAATATTTAATCACTTCATACATATAATGGTATAGTAATTACAGAATATTATTACTTTGATAAGTACTTTGAATGAGATAATGATTACGAAACATGAAATATACAATGCTAAAAATCATAAATGAAATATTTGATATCAAATATCAAAGTAGAAATAGGATTTAGATAATTTTACATCTAATATACTATATAATATAAAATATTTGTATGATACAGAATTTGTGAAGTAATAAACAAAATTTGTTTATAAAAGTAGTTCTTATCAACGTACAGATAAATACTTCATTCTAAAAGGAGTAGAAAAATCAATAAAATGAACAAGTACAAACAAAAAAAACGATTTGTATGAAAGGATAAATACTTTTCTAAAATATTTACATAATTAAGATTCATAACATGTTAAAATATGTTAAAAAAACTATCAACTTAGATATAATATTTCCTTTTGATTATGAATTATCCGGGATAGCGCGAACGCAGTCCCGACTACCAAAAATTGTACGTCCGAGATATCCACATTAGGGATATTCGCAGAGGTCAGCTCAACCGTAGTGCAATGGAAGAGCCTCACCCTGGAGGAACCGCCTTCATGATCACGGTAACCTCTACGCCAGGTAAGTATGCTTTTCTCTGCTTCTTTGACTTACTTAAGCCCACAGCGTATAATTCTAGCAGCGAGAAACTGAGTATAGATAGCGCTACATAACGGCGGCTTTAGGAACTAACTACGTTTTACGAACCTGACCATTTATAATTCCTATTTTAATTTCAAAATCCAATTATTTAATGACAAATACAAAATAAAATTTAATTTTTCTTAATATTAATAAATTTTACTAATATTCTTTTAATAAAAATAATAAATATAATTACAATACAATATAAAATTTTTATTCTTATGATTATTTTATATTATAATATAATATAATTCTTGCAACATAATTTATTAAATGAATGTTAAAACATAAATAAAATTAAAATAAATTAATTAGTACGTAATAATAAGTTGCATTAACTATTAATAATATAATTATAACCTGCATAATAAACCTCATCGGTGAATATTTCAACTTAAAACATGCATTACAAAATATTTTAATAACATTTATAAATATTAATTTTTAATGAAGACATATTTCTATTTTTACATTATAAGATAACAAGAAATTTAAATAATCTATAGAAATTACTATGAAAATTATTCGTCCATTTTTCACTATTGCAAAATTTATTTTTCTTACTAAATTAAATATATAAAAATAGTCAGGATAGCGAACGCTATTTTCCCGATTGTCAAAAATTATTCATTCGAACACTCACGTTAGGGGTATTCGCAGAGGTCAATTCAACTACAGTGCAATGGAAGAGTCTCGCCCTGGAGAAACCGCTTTCGTGATCACGGTATCTCTACATCAGATAAGTATGTAATAACTTTTGTATTTCATAATATTTTTATCGTATTTATCTAATATTTTCAAAATCGAGGAATCAAAAGTCAATTAAAACGTACCATAGCGACAATTTAAGAACTAAATAATTATTATGTAAATAAATCCCTTCCAAATCCAAGGATACAAGATTTCAAGGATATTTTTGATTGATGGCATGTAATGTATAATATATTCAAATTTGTGTTGTTAATATGTTTGTTAAGACATAATAATTTTTAATTGTACAAAGTTGACATAATATACATTAACACACTATTGTATATGAATATCCATAGAAAATATTATTTAATTCCATATACGTATATATGTACATTTCTATTTCTATTAATCTCAATTATTTATTATTACTGCCTAATAATATTAATATCTCGATCATATGAAATTTTTATAATTTTTCGTAATACAAATAATACATATTTCGATGTAAGTATATTTATTTTCCATTTTATAAAATATTCGCGTTCAAATTATTCATGTAGAACATACATGTCTATAATCTTCAATCATAATATATTTCGTATATATCGATGTATCAAATTGCAAATGATTTACTAACCTCGTCGTACCCCCTCACAGCAAACAAGATGAAGTCACACCGACGAATTTACGAAGGCAAAAAAACTCCTTCAACATTTTCCATCCCGTAGCTTGTAGTAATCTGAAAATAGGTGAAACGTTTCGATTGAATCACGTTTATTTAATGATTCATCGTTATTACTTACTGTTTCTAAACGCTCTCACGACATGTTTGATCGTGTCATTCACGGTGACAGTCGAAATTCGTAGTATCAAACAGCGATTGTAACACAACATATGACAAACGCTTGGAAAGGTACGATCATTGAATTCGCGATTTCGAGCGCAAATAGCGAGATTGCCATCACCATCGCTATCCTCTTTGTGCAACAATTGCAACGCCGATACGTTTCTATTTCCTTTAGATTCATCAACCTTTACCTTTACGTCATCAATACAATGATCGCAATCGCAAGGAGGATCATCTTTGGGAGGTGTGTACGTTTCCACCGTGACAACTATAAATACTAAATATCATATTATGAATTTCATGTACTGTAATTTGATGCGTCAATGTTTCGAAAGCGAAGGTAATTTTATAAATGACCGATTTGTAACGAGTGAATATTAATTTTCCGTGTTTCTATATTTTCAGCTTATTTATTTTAAATGAGACTTTGAAAGTGAAAGCAAAGCTTAAACATGAACGATAGTAGTGTTGACTGTTAATTGGAATGTTAATAGTTTACGTGTGTATGTTATATTGTACGGACTTGTTACGTGTTTGTATAGCATGAAACTCGTGAAATTCGTGTATTTGATACGTAAACCTACATATTATAATTACTTTACACGACGACGACTGCATGGCACGAGACCGGCAAAAACAAAAAAAAAAAAAAAACAGGAAACTACAGAAAAACGAAGTTACAAAATCAATGAACAAGCTCGCAGACGTTACCAGTGCAAACTGAAACTAACCGATGAATATACGATGTTGTATTTAGCGTATTGCAGTGCCGTGTCATAGATTAATTTTCATCATATTTATCGAAACTTTATTTCATATTCAAAAAATTTTTTTAGATAATTTCAACTACTGACAGAATAAATTCGACGATAAAAAATTATTTCCTATTTTTCATTGCGTATAATATATTTTACGCCAATAAAATAAAATAAAATTTATTGAAACAAAAATATTTAAATTAGAAGGTGTAAAAAATTAAAATTTCTCATCAGAGAACGTAAATAAAATATGAAATTATTATGTATTATACGTGTATGACTTCAATTAATGTTTATTTATAAAAATAAAAGATAGTCGAAAAGTTGTAGATACGAGTACGTTACTGTTTTATTGTGTGTCAAAGATATCGTCATAGTGGCCTTTGGCATCGGCACACTGACATTTGATATCAACACAACAAAAAAATTCAATACATATCGGAGATATAGTAGCAGACATTTGATCATGAATAAAATATCGTAATCTTTTTTCCACTCTTTGTTATATTTTTTTACGAAGTAAAACTATCTATGTAATGAAAAGCAAATGTATTGTCTACGAAAATGTTTTTTTTTTCGATTATTTATTATCTTTTTTATACCATGAATTTTCTAAAAAAATATTTTCAAAAACTCTGTATTATTGAATCGAATGCTATGACTAGTAAAAAATTTAATTTAAATTTAAATTTATTTTTATTTATAGAAAAGTATTTTTTTTCCCATTTTTCTTTCTACACAAATATCATCTTTATGCTAATTCTTTGCACGTCGTAACGTTCTAAATGATATAGTTGTCGGTCTATAGAGACAGAAACAATAACACTGAACTCTCGTTTCCACCTTGACCCGAAAAAGAAAAGAAAAATAACGAACGTTAAAGTTTATCTCCATGAATTAAACTGGTGAATCGTCGGGATCCTATATGCGTGTTTAAATAATATCTCCTTAATGAATGCGGAATAATTTGCCGAAAGTTTTCAACAATCGAAACGTGAATGTAAAATGATGGAAAAAAAGAAAAAAATTCATTACAGAATTTTTCTTAAATTATTATTCGTTAAAATTATAATACAACTGTATACAAATGAGTGAGTAAAACACTCTTAAACTAAAAACAATTCTGATTCTCTTCCTTGGCGCAACGAAAAAGGCCAAGAGTTATTTAGAAAAACATTTTTAAGAATATTTAATAACTCGAGAATAATACGCCGTGACGTATGATAAAACGAAATTCTTTCGTTTAGGCCATTAAGTTTATGAGAGTAATAAAGTTGCTTCACGGGCGAGGTAATTCAATAACAACTTGAACATACAGCCACGATTATTGTAGTAAATTAAACATCCCCACCATCTACCCACCAGCAACGAGTTGAGAAATGTCGATAAAAGTCGAAAGCCGTTTCGACCTGTAACTTAACGCCCGAATCTTTGAAGTTTATTGGCATAACAATAGGTATTTCGTGGTAGCTGACAATTGCATAATGTTGTGACTTATGAACTAATTTACATCTTAATCCGAGAGGGCCATTGTTCAACTCTATTGTTGCTCAAGAGCTCACTTGTGTCTAGGGTGGCAAACTTCGAAGGGCTGTAAAAACACGTCGTATTTACACTCGTCGATTCTCAGTTCTGTCAATGGTGGAGAATACGTGGAGATACGTACTATATAAAACATTTTTGTTTTATAGGATAGGATGAAAAGCGAAAGATAAAATAAAATTTCATCATTTTTTTCAAAAATCGTTTTTTTTTTTTTTCGAAGTTTCACACGACGAATAAAAGGGTTAAAAGAGTTTTGATCAAATATTTACGAAGAAAGAAATAATCAAGTTTTAATTTAATGATGACTGACTCGTTCTCTCCTTTTTTTTTTTTTTGATTCAATTTATTTTTTTATATTTCAAGAAAATCGATCGATTTATGTCGTATAATAAAAATATACGCCATCGTTAATTAATTTCGTCATATTTAATCTTCTCTTCGAAATATGGAACGTTCAATTGTACACCAATCTCTAAACGAATAGTAAGCGAGGTTGCCATCGAGCAAACGAATATTCCAATTTTCAGATGACATAGCTCGTCTTTTTCTTTTTTATTCGTCCTTTCTCGTCCGCCACTTGACTCCATTAAGCCGCTTCCAGACCCTGTCGTTCTGCCTTTACATTTTCATTTTCGATAAATTCGTTATAAAGGAGCTCAAACGCAATCAATATTAGCCATCTTATAAATATTCTTCTACTCACAACATTTTATACCGATTGTTCCCGACTGATACTTCTTATATCGAAAATAACTTCTGTTCCACTTTGCGTGAAAGTATCTCTATTGATAATTTCATTAGAGATAATTAAATTTAAAAAAAAAAAAAAA